ACTCCCTCATGGCTGACCGAATCCCAGGCCTGGCAGCTTGCTTTCTTACTTTCCTTCTCTCTCTCTGTCTCTCTCTAGTCAACTTCAAAATAAAATAATGACAATAAATAAAAAATTTTTAAAAAAGGTTTCTACTTCTTCAATATGTGTGACTAAGTAAAAGACAAAATTAGGTAAACTGAGTCAAAGATATACTATGGAAAATTCCTACTTAACACAATATAGATTCTTTTTTCTTAAGAATTATTTTACTTAACTTTTTTTAAAGAATGATTTTATTTAACTTTATTTATTATTATTATTATTTTCCAATTTGATCAGAGAGAGAGAGAGCGACTGAGACAGAAAGACATCAGGTTGAGGACTTGAACCACAGTTGGCCATGTGGGAGTTCAACTTCTTTAAACGCCACACCACCTGCTGGCCCCTAATTTATTTAACTTTCCTTATTTACTTACTTATTTTTAATTTGACCAGAGAGAGACAGAGTGAGAGAGAAAAAGAGAGAAAGTGAGAAAGTGAGAAAGCAAAGCCAGGTCTGGGACTTGAACAGTGGTCGACCATGTGGGAGTTCAGCACCTTTAACCACCACACCACCTGCCAGTCTCCACAATACAGATTCCCCTTTTTTATTTTTTTGAGAGGTTTTTGCTATAGGGCACGTGTGCTAGCCAGACAGACAGAGACAGAGAGATAGAAAGTGAGAAATCACCCCCCAGGGGGTATGGCCACATCACAATCCCTTCTCCTCCATTCTCCTCTCGGGATCTTGGGCACGCACACACACGCACCTGGCATGAGTTTTAAGCCACCAGATCCAGGACATGAACCACAGTCGACTACATGGGAGTCCAGCGACATAGCTATTACGCTAATTGCTGGTCTCAATACAGATTCTTAATTCAACTCATTAAGCATAAAAGTTTCTGGATGATATTTTACCAGACTGCTCTCACTTTAATGAATACTAGTTTACTAAAAAAAAAACTTAGAAGACTACTCTTACTACACTAGTTTCTAAAAACTAACAAATAAACAAACAAACAAACAAAACCCAGGGCCAGTAGGTAGAGTGTTAGTTAAGGCAGCTGGATCCCACGTGGCCATCTGAACAATTTGAGTCTTGGATCTGGCAGCTTGAAAAACACACAGGGCATGTGTGCAATTGTGCACAAAATCCCAAGAGGAAAATGGAGGAGAAGGTTTTGTGGTATGTCCATCCTCTCTCCCTGGTGGGTGATTTCTCACTTTTCCTTTCTCTCTTTCTCTATTACTCTGGTGAGTACGCATACCTTCTAGTATGCACACCTAGAAACTTAAAAATGAATGAATGACAGAGTCTCGCCCCGTTACCCAGACTGGCCTCGAGTGCACATTCTCCTGCCTCGGTTATCCATGTAGCCAGGATTACAGGCACGGGCCATTGCACCCGTAATTTATTGTCATGATCTTTAGTGAAACCAGTAACTGCGCTGTCAAGTCAAGTCATAAGGCAATTAAACCTAAAAGTCCCCAGAGCCCTATGTCATCATGGTCTTTGCCAATCTGATAATTACCAAGAGCATTTGAATATTTGGCCTTCACTACTAAAGCATAATAAAAATAATTCCTATCATAAACCAAGTCAATAACTCATTAATTATACTATAAATGCTGGCAATAAATATTATTTCACCAAGCATACACTATATGTTGTATATGGCTATAGACAAGCTAATAAGCTACAGAAATATTATTGAAGTACAACATGTCCAAGGGAATGCTGCATTATAATTTATTTCTGTCATTTCCACTGTACCTTGCTGTTAAACTTATTACATAAACACAGGTTTTAAAGGATAGTCTCCGTCAGGAAAACCAATACATATACCCGTCCACTGAACTCTCCTTTCAGAGAACAATCACATAAACAGAGAATGCAACAAATACTTTTACAAAAGCTTACTAACTGTCAAAATTCTGGTGGATTAGAAGACTTGAGGGAAGGAGAGAGTTTTGTCTTTGAAGAATTTATAGACTCACTTCTGAGAACAGAAATGCAAAGAAAAGTTTCTTGATCTGGTTATGGGTGTGTTCGTTTGTAAAAACAGTGAGCTGTACTTTTCACATGTGTGCCCCTTTTGTTCTACTATATTTCAGTATAGGACTAAGAAGGAAACGAAAAATACTGACAGTTCAGAGAAGGGACTAGTCACTGTTCACAATAAAAGTTGTCAGTTAACATGTATTAACTAATTACTATAATCAGTACTGTGCTAAGTAAGTGCTGTGCTAGTTCATCCTCACAGCGTCCCTGTGGGGTCGCCATTTTATCAGAAGCATTTGTCACAATTAATTACTCCCTCTCAGGGGTCAGACAGTGACACAGCAATAAAGTGTGATGGCTTTACAATGCTGCCCCATGTGAGAAGGTTCTGGATTCACGTCCAGAGACCGCCCTAAGAATGCTAGGCACATACATGCCTATGATCTGGGGGCAGGCTGAGGCCAGAGTGGATCCTGTTAGGGTTCTGTCTTGCTCTCTCTCATTCATAAAAGAAAAAATTAAGTAAACTTAAAAAAATTACTCCCTGGGAGCCAGCAGTTAGCGTAATGGCTATGTTGCTGGACTCCCACGTAGTCGACCGCGGTTCGTGTCCCGGACCCGGTGGCTTAAAACTCACGCCGGGCGCGTGTGCGTGCGTGCCCAAGATCCCGAGAGGAGAATGGAGGAGAAGGGATTGCGGCGTGACCATCCCCCCTGGGGGGTGATTTCTCGCTTTCTGTCTCTATGTCTCTCTCTGTCTGTCTGGCGAGCGCACGCGCCCTACAGTGAAAATCTCCCAAAAAAAAAAAAAATTACTCCCTCCTCTTTAGACCACCTTTCTCTCTGTTCCAAGCCATGTACACTCCTGATTTTCTTTTTACCTCATTAGACTCTCTTTCTTTCATAGGCTTTCTCCCCAGACTTTTAAAGTTGAAATATTCTTTTGTTGTTGTTGTTAATTTTTTCATTTAACTTTATTCATTTATTTATTCATTTGTTTATTTCATTTTGATCAGAGAGGGAGAGAGAAAGTGAGAAAGTAAGCCGCCAGGCACAGGACTCAAACCGTGGTCAGCCATGTGGGAATTCAGCGCCTGTAACCACCATGCCACCTGCTGGCCCTAAAGTTGAAATAGTCTAGTGCTTGGTTTCTAACTAGACTCTCTGGAGCAGGTATTATTATTATTATTATTATTCCACCTTTACAGATGAAAACATTGAGGCACAAAGAGATTCAAATCTACTTAATCAAGACTTCAGAGGCCACACACTTCATCTCCTCACCATTCCTTCTTTCCTTGGCTTTCCATTTAAGGAGCAGGACAAAGCTAATATACAGTCCATATTCTAGTGCCTTTACTAAGTGAAAAAAGGATATTCCATGAAGGACATGGATAAGTTTTTTATTTTGTTTTGTTTTGCTAGAGGATGTGTACACTTGTCAGAGACAGAGAGAGAGAGAGGGAGAGGAAGAGGGAGAGAGAGAGGGAACACTCCACAGTTGGGCATGGTCATGCAATCCTTTTTCCTCCATTTTTCCATCCTGTCAGGATTTTAGACATGCATACACACGTGCCTGGCATGTTGTTCTAGTTACCAGGGCCAGGATTCGAACCTCGGCCAGCCATGCAGGATCCAGCTCCCAATGGACAGCACATAACCACTGCATTATGGGGCTAACTCTAGATAAAATATTAAAGAGCCAGGCACTAAGCCAGCAGGAAACCAACACTCTTACAAATTCTGTTAAACAACTTTCCTTCCTAAGTTTCTTCACTTTGTACTTTGGTACTTAATACGCAAGGAGGAATGTGAAAACATTATGTAACATACATTTTCAAATCTAGATCTTCATGAGGATAATCTAGGAAACTTTAAAAAATACAGAAGGGCTCTATGCAAACCCACTAAACCTAGAAGATTCCAGGAATCTGTGTTTCTAAAAAACACCCAAGCTTGGTACCTGATTTTGGGAAACATTTATTCTAGAGCGAGTTCTTTGGTTCTCAGAGGATGAATTAAGACTATCAGTCATATAGTTATCTGCTTGGTAAAGGCTGGAAACAAAATGAGAATGGAAATATCAAGTGATTCCAACGAGTAATGAGACCAATCAGGAAACCAGAGAAGTGACTGTGGAATTCTAGATCAGGACATTGAACATTTCTCAGGGTCTAGGAATCTGTTGTCATGAGAGAGTTTGCAGTCAAATGGTGCTATCCCTTGGCTTTGGAGGGAGTCATCTGGGAAATAAGAACATATGAGCATTTATATCTTCAGAGTATACACCAAATATAGGAATATAAGAATACTAAGAAATATAGGGGCCAGGCCAACAGATGGTATGGGGGTTAATGGTGCTGGACTCCCACATGGTCGACCACAGTTCAAGTCCCAGACCTGGCGGGTTGCTTTCTCACTTTACCTCTCTCTCTGGTCCAATTAAAACAAATAAATAAACAAAGTTAAAGGAAACAATTCTTTAAAAAAATAAAGAGAAATACAGGGGCCATCAGATGGTGTATTATTTATGTCACTGGATTCCCACATTACCAACTGCAGTTTGAATCCTAGACCCAGTGGCTTCAAACTCACACTGGGCATTTGTGCGTGCATGTCTAAGATCCCAGGAGGAAACTAGAGGAGAAGCGATTGTGGCATAGCCATCCTCTGGGGGGCTTGATTTCTCAGATTCCCCTCTCGCTGTCTCTGTCTCTCTCTCTTTCTGGCAAGGACATGCATTCTAAGGCAAAAGAACTCTTAAAAAAAGAAAGAAAAAAAAAAGAAATATGACTATCGACATGTTACTAGAAGAAAGCATTGTTAACACTGCCATTTATAAACACAAATGCACATCCATTTTGCTTACATGTGCAAGTAACACTACGGAACCATAAACACTGAAGAGAAGGTAAAAAATTCACTGCCACATGCTTATTAAAGACTTACCTCTGGGGGAAAAAAAAAGACTTACCTCTGTAAGTGCATGTAGTTGTCCTTGATGTACACACACACCCATAAACCTAAAAAAAAAAAATAAAGTTTTTTTTTTAAACAAATGAAAAGGATATGAATATAAATGCCATATAGAGAAACTTGTTTAGTCACCCATGCATTAGAAACAGTTCAATACCTGGGAAGCTCCCTGGGTTCCTGTACAACCCTGTAGCCTCTTAATCTTGATAAGATGCCAGGCTGGTAAATTTCTAAGTTTACCAGGGAACATTTGGTGGTAGCAAGACTTAATGTTAAAAAGCAACAGTGGAAGAGGGAGGGTAGTAAGCCTTAAAAATAGTTTGGTAAAAAGAAAAAAAGTACCAAACTGGAAGTAAGAAAACTTGATAGTGGCTTTCGCTCTGCCACTATTTAACTATATGTTTGCAAAGAAAAAGCCACTAATTCTATTTGGGGTTCAGTTTCCTTATCTACAACGTAAGTAGACTGGACTGCCCAATCTGAAGGTCTATAATTTCAAACAACAAACTGAAAACAACAGACATTTGCTGAATGACAAAGGTCTACACTGTTTAACACACAAAGAACTTGCCTGCATATATAATAAAAAAGATAATCCAATACAAAAAATAAGCAAAAGATATGTACATAGTTTACGGAAAATAAGTATAAATGGTTTATTAAAATATCAAAAGGTACTCAAATTCACTAATAATTAAAGAAATGCGTATTAAAATAAGGAGATACCACTTTTTAAGTATTTAATTTTATTTATCATCATCATTATTATTTTTAAAAATTTGACCAGAGAAAGGGAGAAAGTGAGAAAGCAAGTAACCAGGTCAAGGACTTGAACGGCAGTTGGCCATGTGGGAGTCCAGGATCTTAATCACCATGCCATCTGCCAGCCCCTAGATACCACTTTTCTTTTCACATTTAAATGAGAGTTTAATACTCTTAAACATTTACTAAAAGGAGATTACAATGTGTGGAGATCTCATAAAATGAACTTCACTTCTCAGCATCACAAATATTTGGAATACAAGAAGTCCAGAGATGGATATTAGAAGTAAGAAAGATACAAAAGAAGCATGCTTTCAAATAACCAAAAAACTAGGGGCCAGCAGGAGGCGCAGTGCTTAAGGTGTTGGACTCCCACATGGTCAACCAGGGTTGGAGTCCTGGACCTGGTGGCTTTCTTTCTCACTTTTCTTTTCTCTCTCTCTGTCTCTCTCTGGTCAAACTAATAATAATAATAATAACAAATTTTTAAAAAAGTAAAAAATTCTTTTAAAAAAATAAAGATTCTCTGCCCCTTGCCCAAACCCAATGGTGGTCTAGATCCTCAACAAGATAAAGCTGTCTTAGGCTCATTCCTTTAACAAGACTGAGCTCATGCAGGGGCTGGCAGGTGGTGTGGTGGTTAAGAGCGCTAGACTCCCACATAGCCAACCATGGTTCGAGTCCTGAATCTGGCTTATGAGTCTGCTCATAAGATGCCCATGCTAGGTTCTCACTTTCCCTCTCTCTCAATGTCTCTCTCTGATCAAATTAAAATAAATAAATAAAGTTAAGTAAAATAATTCTTAAAAAAAAAAAAAAGAGGCTTGCACAGAACTATATATCCAAGTGTGTGTACAAGAGACACTCACACATATACCCACAGGGACAGACACAGCTGGATTTATGTTGTTTAAGGCATTTCATACCCACATTCCTAAGTCTCCCACCTTCCCATGTCATATCTGACAAATTACTTCTTTGGAAGCAGGACATTTTCTTCGAAGCTGCCCTAGTTGACAATATTCCCTGCTGGGAAGTATCTGGCCACCACAAAGGAGGACCTGTCACTTGCAGATGCCTTCCCCACTCCTATCTTCTTTGTATTCTTCCAGACTGTGGCCATGAAGTGTCCCATCCCTGAGGTGAAGCCAGGCTGTCGGAAGTTGTAGATTTGATTTCACTGTACCATGTACCAGCAACCCCTTTCCTGTCTGCTCATAAGATGCCCATGCTAGGTTCTCCCCACACTGACTGTGACGGACTCTGGGCTGTGCTTGAGGATTCTCGTGCTGGCCAGGACCTGAGTACTGTTGAGCTTCCTGGTTGAGCTTCTTACAGAGCATCAGTGGGGGGATGCCATGCTGCTTCCAGTATTCACTGTGGGCCTTCTGGACCTCATCGTTAAAACTCTTTGTGAGCTAACTTGCCCATGGCCAACTTGGCACACTCCTCTGCTGCAGCCTATCTACTGCTGTATCTAACCACTTTTTTTTTTTTGGAGAGATTTTCACTGTAGGGCGCGTGCGCTCGCCAGACAGACAGAGAGAGACATAGAGACAGAAAGCGAGAAATCACCCCCCAGGGGGGATGGTCATGCCACAATCCCTTCTCCTCCACTCTCCTCTCGGGATCTTGGGCGCGCACACACACGCGCCCGGCGTGAGTTTTAAGCCACCGGGTCTGGGACACGAACCGCGGTCGACTACGTGGGAGTCCAGCGACATAGCCATTACGCTAACTGCTGGTTCCCTCTAACCACTTTTTAAATCTACCAAATTGAACAAGTATTAAGATTGCTAATGTTTGGGACCAGCAGGTGGCGTGGTGGTTAAGGCACTGGGCACTCCA